CCCTGAAACCTGGGTGTGAGTCTCAGCTCTCCCCCTGTCTAGCTGTGTGATCTTGGGCAAGTCACTCTACATCTCTGAGCTCCATTTCTAGGCAGCCTTGGAGTGGATGTGAGGATTTGCCAGCCTGGGTAGGGCTTCCTCAGAGGATGTCTGCAGCAAACGCCTTAAAAGTGGAGGGGGCACTGAAGCAGGAGATACATACTTGGAGTTGTCTTATAAAAGGAATAATAACACGAATCTAGAAACTGTCCCACAACACACCCAACTACAGCTCTTTTTCCGGCATGACTTGGTTTCCAAGCCTCTATTATAGAGAGGAGCCTCCCTAGACTGAGCGATGTGAGAGAGACAAAACAGTTGAGAAACAGAAGACAAAAGGTGTCCAGAAGCAGGAATGAAACCAATAATTGGGAAATCCGAGGAGGATTTAAAAGGGACTCAGTGAAGAGTTTTCAGAATCTCACATTTCCTCCAATCGCGAGTAGAGAATTACTACCGTGAGATTTTAAAAACTTTTCTAACTTTCCCAAGTTTGTAATTTTGTCACTCATTGGCTGTTTCCCTGGTATGGTTAGCAGTTAAAAAAAAATCCTTAAACCAGAAAGTGTCTGTACTTCTAAGGAAGAGCAAGGCGGCTGGAAGCTGGTGGAAGTGGCCTCTTGTCATCCTGCCGGAGTGGCCTGCAGACGAAGGTGTGTGAGTGGGAAAAGCAGCAGATGTGGAAAGAAGAGAGGAGATAGGAATCCGGCAAGATGACTATCATTTACTAGCCACTAATTTGGTCCTAGGCGTCTGTCTCATGCATTTCCTCACTGAACAGTCCTATGAACCAAGTACTCCTATTACCGTCACTGTACATTTTGAGGAAACAGAGGTTGAGAAAAGGATAAAACAAGTAACTCACCTGAGGTTCTGGAAAAAAACAAAAAACAAACAACCCCCCTCCAAAAAGCAACCCCCGACACACACACAAAATGTCAGAGCTGGGATATAATCCTAAGACTTCAGACCCCGTGGTGAGTACTCAAAGCCCACTCAATGCTTCCTGGGAGACAGTGAGGAGAAAAGACTAGGAAGAAAGGATCGGAGATGTTACTGAGGCAGTAGAAGGACCAGAGGCATAATGAATGGAAGACTTAATCCCAGGCCTCATGGTGACAGCTTCAGGGTCCCTCCCCAGTTAGAGACTAGGTCCTAAGGGAACAATCTGGAACCATTTCACACATTCCTCCAGCCAAGCAAGAAATGAAATCAACCCTCAGGCTGGACAGAATGATTTGAGTTCCTAAGCACCTGGAGGGGTCAGAGTTTGTATTCCTTGAACAGATTCTCTTCAGTTGAGGGGAGAAAGCTATGAGAGTTTTTATTGTTGTTCGTTTGTGTTTGAATTGTGGTTCCAAACCATCTGGAGCTTTGCAGCTTTCCTGGAGAATCTCAAGAAATGTCCTAGACTATTCCCTCCAAAAAATGTGTGTGCACATATACACACAGAATTATATATGTAATTTCAGGGGGTTCATACCACACTCCACCCCATCCACAGACAACCCAGGAGCCCATGGCCACAGTTTAAAATCTTTGAGGTCTAGGTGTGAGTCCTAACTCTCCCTCTGCCCAACCGTGTAATCGTGGGCAAGTCACCCCACATCTCTGAACTCCATTCTAGGGAGCCATGGAGCGAGGATGAAGAATTGCCACTCTGGGTAATGCTAATTTTAGGGAATAATAATTTTGACCAGATCTTCTTTGGATTTAAACCAGCCCTCATCTATGGAAGGCTTGCCTTCCAAAATTACATGAAGAAATGAAGAGGGAATCAGGGATATTTAGCCAAGAAAAAAACTCACAGAAGCATGTGGGCTCCCAAATGGATTGAAACCATTTTCACAGGAATGAAGAAGTAGGATTCATTCTGAATTATTCTGTAAGTGGCTCCCGAGGGGAGTACTGGTTGGGGTGCGGCGGGGAGGGAAGCAGCTCAGCCTAGTGTCAGAGTGGCATCACAGTTGAACAGACACAGGTTAAAACCAGGCCGCCATTTACCAGCTAAGTTAGATAACTGTCATGGACTCTGAAACGGAGGTGACAATGGTATCTATCTCCTAGGATTTTGTGAAAAGCCAAATGAAGTAATGCGCTTAACATGCACAGTGTTAAAACAAAGAGAGACTTCAGTGGATGTCCGCTTCTCTAATAAAGTCTCTGACCCTCCATTTCTTTGTCTGTAAAATGGGGACATTATCTGTACCCGATCAGAAGGTCACTGTGAGATTTAAATCAGAAAATGCACATTAAACACCCTTAATACAGTACCTGACACATAATTAACTCCTCAGCAGGTGGGAAGTGCAATTATGATTACAAAGTTTTCGTGACAAAAACCAATGGGAAGAGAGGACAGTAAAGGAAATGAACTTAACCTTTTATTTCAAAAATGGAAGGCAAGGCCTTAAATGAAGGGGGGGAATTGGAGCGGGAGGTGAACCATGAGAGACTGTGGACTCTGAGAAACAAACTGAGGGTTTTAGAGGGGAGGGGGGTGGGGGGATGGGTTAGCCCGGTGATGGGTGTTAAGGAGGGCACGTACAGCGTGGAGCACTGGGTGTTATACGCAAACAGTGAATCATGGAACACTACATCCAAAACTAATGATGTAATGTATGGTGATTAACATAACAATAAAAAATTATTTAAAAAAACTAATGATGTAATGTATGGTGATTAACAATAAAAAATTTAAAGAAAAAAAAAAGAAATGCCTGATCCTGAGCAGGATCCTTTTGACATATAAAATATTATGGGGATACTTGAATGGGGAATGAAGACTGGTATAGTGATGGGACAATGTTAGTCTCCTGATTTTAGTAGTTGGATCGAGTTTATGTAGGTGAATGACCTTGTTTGTACAAAACATATCCCAAAGTATCCAATAATGATTGGATTAGGTTGATAACCTATTCTATGTTTATTTAGGGAAAAATAAAGTTCTTTGTACTGTAAAAACAAAAAACAAAAAAAAACTAATGATGTAATTAATGTATGGTGGTTAACATAATAAAATAAATTTTAAAAATAAAATAAAAATTTAAAAAAAACGGAAGGCAAGACAAAAAAAAATATAGATATATATATATATATATCTATATATATATATCTATATATATCTAAGAGCAGGGACTCAGAGCTAGACTTCCTGCATCTGGCACCTGAGAGCAGTGAGGCCTTGGGAAAGTTGCACAAAGTAGGGATATGAGCATCTGCTAAAGAAGAATTGAATGAAGTGACCCATGAGAAGAGCTTGGCTCTGCACCAGCACATAATACGCGTTCAATAAATCCTGGTTTCTTCCATAATAAGTAAAGGTAACACAGAGATAGGCCTTCTTATAACAAGTTCCTCTTCAGCAGTGCAGCCTTTAGTGGCTGCGAGTATTCTCTCTCCTCCGGGATTTATCAAGGAAGAGAGAAATGAAATTACCAGGGATATTACAAGAGAGGGTAAAACATCAAGATGACCCCTTGTTCCCTTGCAATTCAATGTAAGATGGTTTGAGATTTAAATGGACTGAATGATAGATAACATTTTGAAAACTCCTTGCCCACCCTCCATCGTTTTTCTAGTTGCTACCTTCTCTTCTGCCAGAAAATAGCCCCCCACCCTCACCCCATGCCATGGACAAAGAAAGTTTAGATCTTGGGCATCTAGTTTCCCTTCAGTTCACAACAACTAGTCCAGATTTTCTGTCTTCCTGCTGGATGAGGGGGTGCATGCCAAAGCTTTTCAACATTAGATCACCCTAACATTTCATTTTGATTTATACTCTTCCTACAAAACGTATCCCCCTTTCACTCACTCTTGTCTCTCCCCTCTGATTGTGTCTTCTGAGCTTTTGTGAGTAATGTCCCATTGCCTCCTTCACAGAGTTAAAGAACTACCATTTTCTGGCTAATAAACATATAGAAAGACACTTAAACTCTTTGTTAATCAGAACAACAAAAGCATAAGATGACTTTTTTTTTCCTGGGGAGATCGAAAAAGATTAAACAAATGGTCATATCAAGTGTAGGGAGGATGTAGCAAAGCGGACACCCTGTGGATGGGAAAATAAATTGGCAAACCCTTTCTGGAAGACAATTTTGTGATGGTTATTAAATTTAAAAGTGCACATTTTCTTTCAGCAGAGCATTTTTCCTTCTGGGTCACCCCCCTAGTGAGAGAAACACCAGCATAGACACTTAAGGAGACACTCACATACCAGGATGTCCCCTGCAAACTACTTATGGTAATGAGATATTAGAACAACCTCAATGTCCCTTAGTGGGTGACGGATACTATAAGTATCCATAGTATAAAATACTATACAGCAATTTAACATAATGATGCAGATCTACATGGACTGGAAAAGAAAGTGGTCCAATATTGTAATGTTAGGTGAACACAACAAAGTGCAGAAGGCTGCGTACACTAGGAGAGAATTTTTTTAAAAAATCGACACACAAAACAAAACTGCATTTTTCTGTATCTATACACGCACATAAGCAATAGAAAAAAGATCTGAAGAATGCTCATCTTCAACTAATAACAGTGATTATCTCAGAAGAAGGGCTGGGATTCAAGACAGGGAGTCAAAGAGCATGATTTTCTACTCTTTTTATGCATCCCTAACAAAAATACATTAGTGCAGTATTTGTGCAATCTACCATAAATTACTAATTTTTTTTTTAATGAATGAGTGATTTTCTGGCATTTCTAACTTCAAGACAGAAGCAGCTAAGGAAGAAGGGGAATCCCAACAGAGGGGTTTCAGAAATGAGGCAGAGGAGGGAAGAAGCCAGCTTGGATGCTGTTTGCAGGTTTCACTTTCATCCTAGCTTGTGGGAAAATGGAGGATGTGACCACAATGGAACCAAAATAGCCGAATCCCAAGACAAGCAGGAACATGACAGATCAGATCATTCCCACGGTCAGACAAAACCACCCTCAGGAGCACAGCCCCTTACCTCTTGTCTGAGGAAAAGTCACAGAGTCACTCATTTCCCACGTTGACTCCTGGGATGTTGACTGGAGAAACCAACCTTTGGACTCTGGGGGAAAAAAAAAAAAAGGAAAAGAGAAAACAAACTTCAGTAAACATCTGTCATTTTTATTTTTGGTGCCTCACTGTCCCCCTAAACTAACTTCTGTCATAAAAAAGAAAAGAAGAGCTAATTAATGTTTACTGAGCATTTAGTACATGCTGGACAGTGTTCTAAGTGATCTACACGCATCCTCTCATTTTATCCTCAGAAAGAGACACAGGATAGGTGTTATTATTAGTCCCATTTTACCAGTGTGGAAGCCAAGGCCCAGAGAGAGAAAATAACTTTCCCAGAGTCACACAACAGATAAGAAGCAGGACTTACACCCAGGCAGTGTGATGCCAGAACACACACATGACCCCCCCACCCATACTAGCTCCCTATGTTGTACTAACACAAGAATTGATTGATTTTTTTTTTTACTCCATAGATATCCACTTTCTTCTACTTGATTATAAGCCCCATTAAGTAATATCTACCACTTGAGCACTTAGTAACATGCCAGGCACCCACCTTCAGCCATCATATGCATGAAGTTATACAACCCTCCAACTCACCTGGGAATAAACCAAGGCCAGAGACCCTTGGCAAAAAGGAGTAGAACAGGGAGCCAAGGCTGGGCAGTTCTCTCTAGCACCCCCATGGATGAGAATCATGCCTTATTTTTAGGGTATTCTCTGCCCTTTGGCTCTAGTAAATACGTAAAGAAGGCTTGAGGGATAGATGAAAGGTCACATGAATGAAAGAATTCTCCCTCTACTACAGAAAGCTAGTGAGTCAAGTGAGAACATCCCTCAAGGGGATCCACAAAGATCATTGTGCTTGGAATTAGGCCGAGACAGCTAAGCACTAGCTCGCCTAGAATGGAAAGGCAAATATTCCAAAGATGTGCTACCATGAAGAATTGCTCAAACAAATCAAGGTCAGTCCCAATTTCTCCCTGCCTACCTCCCTTTCTCTCTCAAAGCCACAAGAATGAATGAGCCACAGATGCTGTCCAATTTGTCCTAGGTGGGGCTCATGGCACACAGAACCCAAAAGTCATCTCTAATCATCTAATTCAACAACACTTTACTGTCCTCAATGTAGGAAATGAGGAAAAGAAAAAGAAAGCAAGTGTCCACATATCTTTGGATATAAGTAAGGTAGTGTTTCCAGAAGTCACCTCAGTGCTTCTCTCAGGATCACTGGAGAGAAAGAAAGTTTCTGACTCTGGAAGAGAAAAAAATTCAATAAAAGGGAGCAAAAAATAAGTGTTTGTGCTGAGTGGTGGGATTCAGGGCTATTTTTATAGTTGTCTTTGTGCTTTTTTATATATTTCAGGTTTTCTTCAAGGATTGCAAGTAATTTTTAGGATCAAGGGGAGTAAAATACAAATGTTATATTTTAGGATGATTATTTTAAAGGCCAAAAGAATAAAAAATACATACAAAAATTGACTGGGTTATGGTTCATGGACTTTAGGTGACTACTCAGAATATAACAGAATTAGCCAATTCAATATTGTCAGGCTATTTAAACTATCGAGGCCTTACTGAGGCAGCTGAGACACCTAAGAAAGGCTTCACGCTGTCTCTTAATGATTTTCCAATATTCTTACATCAGAATCAGAGGTTGAAACATGGTGGGAGCTTTGGTAAGCCCCGTTAAGTAATGGAGCTAGTAACTCAGTGAGGTTACAAGATGCAGGATCAAAAAGGATTGGGGGGAGGGGGGAGGAAAGGAACAGAATGGAAGGGAGGGAGGGAGGGAAGAAAAAAAGGAAGAAGAAATAAGGGTAGAACTAGTTCATCATCAAGGACTATTTTAAGACATCTAGAGGCCTTTCCTCAATGCCTAGGCAGAGACTTAAGCCCTGGCAGACTGAAACTGGATTCTGACCCCGGGTGACATTTCCTGGTTCTTCAATAAATATCTCTAAGATTCCTGGAAGGTCAACTGGAGAACCAAAAAAAAAAACAAAAAACTGACTTTCAAAAAAAAAATAGGGGGAAAAAGAAATGATAAAACAGAGAAAAGGAACAGGTTAGTGAAACCACATCCTCACTGACACCCCCACACACAAACACATGCACACACACAGTTATAAACTGAATTATATTCCCCAAAATTCATATGTTGAAATCCTAACCCCCAATACCTGAGAATGTGGCCATATTTGGAGAAAGAGGTAATTAAGGTAAAATGAGGTTATATGGATGGGCCCTAATTCGATATGAGTGGTGTTCTTATAAGAAGATAAGTTTAGGTCACACACGTTCACAGAGGGAAGACCATGTGAAAACACAGGGAGAAGGTGATCATCTTAAGCCAAGGAAACAGTCCCCAGAAGAAATCAACCCTACTGACACCTTTATCTCAGACTTCTAGCATCCAGAACTGTGAGAAAATAGATTTCTGTTGTTTAAGTCCCCCAGTCTGTGGCATTTGTTATGACAGTCCTAGCAAACCAGTACGTACACACACACACACACACATACACACACACACACTGAAACCAAAGAGCAAGTCTCTGGACTGCCCCATTCAGTAAAAAGAACCCTGTTTCAAGGGACCCAAGATACATCTGACTGGCAGAAGGGAAAGAATGGCCAAATGTACCACGTACCTGCAGTGAGGGTGGGCCCTTCCATGGAAAGCTCAGTGGTTGGAAGCACTGTGGTGGCTTCAAAAAGAAAGGTTGATGTTGCTGGAGGGTATGTCATTGCCACTGTTGTGAGGGCAGTGGTGGTTCTTGTCTGAAGTCGTGTTCTGGTTGTGAGCTCAGGTATAGTCATAGCTGTTGTTGGAAGCACAGCTGTGGCTGTCGTCAGAGCAGTGGTGGTGGTTGGGAGACGCGTTGTTGATGGCCTGGTTGCTGGGGCTGTAACCAATGGAAGATATGTCTGGTACCAAGCAGAGACGGAGGAAAAGGGAAAGCATACAAATATATGTGGGATCTGTCCATTTCTCTCCATTTCTGCTGCCTCACCTGGTCCACTGACCTGGACCACTGTAATGCCCATGGAAGTTGGGTTTCTTACCTCTACTCTTGGCCTTTCTGATCTGTTCTTCACACATTGGTTAAAATAATCTTTTTAAATGACAAATAATTATGTCAGTCCCCTGCTTAAAACTTTTTACTGGGTCCTCCGTGCCCTTGCGATAAAGGACCCAATCCCCAACCTTGGCCCACAAAACTCTATCTGATCTGGCTCTTTCTTTACCATCTCATGTCTCCACTCTACTCTTCTTGCTTTTCCCCAGCCCTGTGACCTTTCTTCATCTCTCTGAACAGTGACCTCACACTGGAGGGACTTCATACCTGTTGCTTCCTAGCCTCTCCCTTCATTAGGCTGACTCCTACTGAGCCCTCTTGTTGCAGCTAAAAGGACACCCATATTTGGCAATCGCAATTAGGTTTCTTGGTTTTGCACTTTACCTTGGTTTTCATACTTTACCTTCACAGCATTTATTGCATTTTGTAACTGCACATTTTATCTGATGATTATGGTTTAACACCTGTTTCTCCCACGAAACTGTAAGCTCCATGAGGGGAAATCTGGTATTTACTTTGTTCTCTGCTACAAATCTTATACCTACCCCAGTGTTGGGCACATAGTAGGTTTCCAAAAACATTGCATCAATGAGCAAATGAACAATTGCATCAAAAATGAGCCCAAACATAAAATTTCAGTCAAGCAAGATGAAGCTCTAGAGCTCTGCTGTACAACATCATACCTGTAGTTAACAATAATATATTATACACTTGAAAATTTGCTGACTTAGAACTCATCTTAGACGTTCTTTCCACAATAAAATAAAATTAAAATCTTAAAAAAGTGCGCCCGAAGTACGCAACGTGGGGTGAGAATATAGTCTCTTTCAGATATTAAAGATAAGATTATGCCAACACCACTCACCCCTAACATTTGAATTTGGGTTCATCAGCCACTGTTATTCTATATGTGCTACCCTCTCTTAAATATGACAAATTTCAATTAACTCTAACAGATTCCAGTGAGCTTAGAAATGACCCATAGCTATTGAGTTCAACAAGTATTTTATAAAATAATAGCTGGTTATACCAGGCTTGAAAAGAGAAAGCTTGGATTGCATCATTTAACTTCAATAAAACTTCAATAAATCAGAAAAATACTTCTCTATCACAAAGGCACTTTTCGAGAAAAATACACTAATGTGTATGAAAGTTCTCTAATGAGAAGATCCATATAAATTATTCTCAAAGTTTAGAGTGCATTGGAGTCACCTGAGAATCTTGTTAAGTATGTGGCTATAAGCATATGACCTTGCCTCCCAGGATGCCTACCCAGTGAGGAACAAAGCACAAGAATCTTCCATCTTTGATGCAGGTTGAACACAGAGCTTACTCTGAGAGGCTCCATTCCAAACAAGCAGGAAAGCTGATTACTGTTAGCATAATTCAACCATAGGCTGCCTTCCATGCAGCTCAAATCTTTAAGAGTTGCGCCCTATTCCAATTTCATCAAAAGCAACTAATAGTAACAGAAGGAAAGGCCACCTAAAAACTGTTATGACTGTCTCCAAATCTCACACCCTTTCCCCTCTGCTGGAAGTCACAAACTATTGGCTGATGGACTGAAGCTGACCCATGGATATATTTTATTTTGTTTACATGGTAGTTCTTTTTTTAATCTTTGCCAACATGCAAAAATCAATGTCATGCCCATAAAAATTGGGAGATCCGAAAGCACTGCACATAAATTTCTGCAAACTGGCAATCTCCTAGATAAGAATCAGATGCCCTCTGCACATTGACCCTGCAATTCCCTGCTTGTTTTCTCCATATACCCTCCACTCATTCATTTCTCAGGTTTTCTTGGCCCCCATGGGCATTTGCTCCATCCTGTGGCTCCTCTAGCCATAGAGACACAGCTTAGATTTAATCTGCCCACTCATGCTTAAGCACCTACAGCCTCCCCAAAACCACCCACTGAATCCATTCCCCATTAACTGTTAGATCCCTCCTTCCACAGACAGAAGCCCCTTCGTGCACGCACCTCTCCTCAACTGCAGGCGAATGTTCTTCTTCACATCATTGAACCAGCCAGGGACCTCTATGCGGCAGCAGTACATACTGCTGTCACCTTCATTGGTGTTGAAGATGGTCAACGAGACATTGCCTCTCCAGATACTGCCCTGAAGATCATATTTTGGTGACTTCCTGGATAATACCCTCATCCCATTGGTGTGGAGAAGCTCCTCGCTGCATTTGGATTTAGGACACTCACCCTTGCCCCAGCACATGCTGTTCCTGCTGCGAGACCAGGATGAGTACTTACAGGGCAAAGTCACCGTCTGACCCAAATACGCTCTCACAGTCTCTGGTGCAGGTGAAGCTGTGAGGAAAGATGAGAAAAATAGACTGTGTGGTTCTAAAATCTCTCAAATATGCTACACAGTGTTTGTGTAGAACAATGCTTCCAGGATGATGAAAAGAGTTATAGTGTATATCTTTTTAGCCTAATTCTGATGTGCCCTTAGCTGTTGCTGAGTCCCTAACTCCACACCCTTTTGTCCCCTAACGGGAGACAGTTGACCCACATGAGTGTCTGAGTGTCTGAACTCGTCTCCACAACAAGACGTTTTGGCTGATTTAAAAACTCTGATCTTGGGGCACCTGAGTGGCTCAGTTGGTTAAGCATCTGCCTTCGGTCAGGTCATGATCCCAGCCCGCATCAGGCTGTCTGCTCAGCTTCTCCCTCTCCCTCTGCCCCTCCTCCCTGCTCGTGCTCTCTCTCTCTCTCATTCTCTATCATATAAATAAATAAAATCTTTTTAAAAAATAAAATAAATAAAAATACCATTCAATAAACAAAAAAATTCTCCAGTGAAAAGGCCAACTCTTTAATCCAATTCCACTAACTCATATGAGCAGATCCCAAACCAGCACTCTACCCACTGTATCTCAATAAGCAGTGAGCATGTACTACAGACCCAAATGCCTCAAATGGGACTCCCTCCGCCCTCCAACCCAGAGAATGCTATGGTAGTAACATAGGCTGTTGAACTACATTCTATTTTCCTTCTCTTCTTTCAGTACTGGATAGAAATTAATTGCTCTGGACCATTTATTTGTTGTTAGAGAATATGAAGTTAGGTGGAGTATGAAAACATTTTTAATGTTAGAACTGGAAGGGACCACAGGAATTAGATAGAATGGCAGCTGTGACATACAGAAATGCTGGAAGCTTAGTCCTACCAAATTAGCTGTGTGAGATGGGAGGTATCACTATTTCTAAAATGAAGTAGTCATCTTTGCCAGCTTTGGCTGCTCATCAGCATGACCTGGGGAGCTTGTTAAAAATGGAAATTGTATTGTCCAACCCTGAACCAGAATCTCTGAGGCCAAGACCCATGGAAGAAATATGCAATAAGCAAATTCTCCAAGTCATTCTGATGTCGCTTGCTACTCACAGTGTTTGAGGACCACTAGACAAGCTCTTCTAAGATAACTTCCATCTCTGAGAATCTGAAACATTTTCACTGCTGCAAATATCAAGCCCACTGGTTTAACAGAGTATCAGCAATTGTTCTAATTCCCCACCCCCCAAAAAAAGCTATTGAAGACAGGCTGAAGCTCCAGATCATCAGGACTCCATCCTGCTCCCACTGGGGTACATAGATCCTGCTTATTGTTTTCTCCAATGTAACTTCCTGTGAGACTCTCCATTCACTAATTTTGTGGACCCATTTGGCTCAGTTGTATAAGACATGGCCAGCAGTACCAGGTTCCTCTCTGACTCAGGTGTCAGGAATGTCCACATATCCCTCTCTAGAAGAAGGTGAGCACAAACCCTAAGAGTCACCAAATTCAGACCAGCCTGGAGCCTTTCCTGAAATCACAGTTTCTTCATTTTGTTGTAGTAGAAATGTTTCAATGATCGTAAATGCTCTGGAAGTCTCTTTTGCCCACCATGAAACAAGGAAAAATAAATAAATAAGAAATTCATTGTCATCACATTTACCTATATTAGCAACACAGAACATATGCTCCTAAAACTAGTAACTCCTACAATATGAGCTTGTCCTATATTTGGAAGATTAATAACAAATATGTGTAGGAATTATTTCTGCTGGAAATTGGACAGTTTATTTTTCCAGTATCATAGTATAGAAGGAGACATCCTACCACTCAGGAGGAAAAGACCAGATAGGGGCGCCTGGGTGGCTCAGTCGTTAAGCATCTGCCTTCGGCTCAGATCATAATCCCAGGGTCCTGGGATCGAGCTCTTCATCGGGCTCCCTAATGGGCAGGAAGCCTACTTCTCCCTCTCCCACTCCCCCTGCTTATGTTCCCTGTCTCACTGTGTCTCTGTCAAATAAATAAATAAAATCTTTAAAAAAAAAGAAAGAAAGAAAAGAAAAGACCAGATAGAAAAATTGACAGCAGACAAAACAGACATAGATGAGGAAATGTGAGCAGCCGGCAAATTTCACCTGGAAGACAGGCAAAATTTTAGAATGCCGATGATATTAAGGTTGGCCAGACAGGGACTTAGGAAATGACATAGACTACTGGAGTATACTGGAATAAAGTAGGAGGTTAATTGGTAAGCCACACTGTGGGGCAATCTGGCAGTTTCCATTAATACTGAACATGCGTGTATCCAAGCTAAGTCTTAGCAATTTCGTGTTTTGTTATGCACCCTAGAAAAACACACATGCAAAGGAAACCTATTTGTAAATGTTTGCTGCAGCTTTCATGTATATGTGAATGAAATGAACAATGTGTGCATGGGGAATGGCAAAACTATGGCATACACATTCCAAGGAATCATGAATGAATCATTCATTCCCTGTAACCGTTCCAAGGTTAGTAAAAGTAGAGTGATCTATATCAGTTGACATGAAAACTCCAAGCCCTATTAATATATGAAAAGGGCAAATTCATAACAATACATAAAATATAAAAGCATCTGTTAACATAAATAAAACAGTTTGCATTTTTTTTTTTTTTTTTGTGGGCACAGACGAATGAAGGTAAATACATAGAAAAGTGTCTGGTGAGATATACACCTAACTCATTGTACGAGTCACCTCCATGATCAGAGAAAAGGAACTGGGGCTGGAAGTAGTAGTCAAAGGGATTTTAGCTTTATAATGGCTATTATTTTTTCACCAAGGGTGTTTCTGTATCACTGATCTAATTAAAAATTAATATTAAAAAAAGGAAGCAGGCAATTTGGTGCAGCAGAAAAACACCCATTAGGCTTATGTTGTAAACCTCATTCTGCCAGTTACTGCTTTTGTGTTCTTGGAGGAAAGCCACAATAATCCTGACCTCATTATCATCAAAAGACAAAGGAGATATATAATACATGCTTCAGGAATAGTTCTGAGGTTCACATGAAATGAAGTATCAAATACCACATGAAATTAATAAAGTACAGGTACAAGTAACCAAGCATTTCAGAATTTAGAAATACGATGAGAAACCTGTTCCTTGCTGTTATAAAAATATCTTGGAGTACAGGAATCATTGGCATCAGGTCAATTCCCCTCTTTGGAAATTACCCAGGATGGTAGGTGCAATGAAGGTTCTGGTGCCCGCTGGTTTCCTTCTCCAGCTGGTGACCTCAAGAAAGGTCCTTTACCAACCTGGGTTTCAGTTTCACCATTTACAGAATAAAGGGTTTCATCCCACATCTTTTTTTTTTTTAAAGATTTTATTTGTTATTTATTTGAAAGAGAGAGAGAGCACGCACACAAGCAGGGGGAGGAGGGGCAGAGGGAGAGGGACAAGCAGGCTCCTCCTGACACAGGGCTAGATCCCATGACCCTGGGTTGAAGGCAGATGCTTAACTGACTGAGCCACCCAGGCACCCCTCATTCCACATCTTTTAAGAGCGTCTCCAGCCCTGATTGATCTTTGGTAATTCTGAGCAGTCACTCTCTTCTGAATTGGTCATTTTAGAAAAGGCACAAATGAACAGCACCAACAGACCATTCTCCAGGTGCAGCTTCCTTCAAGTAGGATTAGAGAAGGCCACACAATCAGTGTCCAGCCAGTGGCAGGGAATGTGGACCTAGACTCCAGCAACCTTCAGCATAATAAAACCTCCATACCTCAACATACTCAGGACAAGATAAAGACCAGTGAAGACACAGATAAAGAAAGTGACAGGAACACCTTCATTCTGTGAACTCCTACAGAGTCTGGGGAGAGAGGCAGTTAAATGATCAGTTACTACAGGGAAATAAGTTCTCTGATGAATGACTCCATAGGAGATAGGAACTCAGAGCAGAAACACCTAAACCACTCCAGAGGCTCTGGGTGCTCAGGAAAAGCCTCACTTGGGTGGAGACCTAAGAATGCATATAGTTTCAGAGGAAAGAAAGGCAGAAAAAGGTCAGCATGACAAAGTTTTGAAGGTAAGAGAGAACACATTTGTTTTCCTTGGAATGTGGGTGTTTTCTCATGCAGCATATTGGAAAGATCATGTGCAAATAACTATAAACTTTTAAAAGTGCTAGGGACATTAGAGACTATCTAGTTCTAGAATCATGGATTGTTCAAACTGGTCTTACCAAAGTCCCTCATTTCATACATAGAAGAGCCAGAGCAATTTCAACAGCTTCCTAATGTTAATGGTTAGTGACTGAGACACAACTGCAGCTCAGTGTAGAGCATTTTGCCCTATGCTGCCAGGATGCAGAAGTCTAAGCTGGCCCAAATTGAGTGTGTACATCTGTATCATCCAAAACCTGGAAACAATGCATAGAAAAGAAACCTCACCTTGAAGCCTCATCCCCAGCAAAATAAAACAAACAAAAAGCAAACTATAACTCCTGAAAATCAAGAGGAAAAAATAAGAATTATAAGAGCACTTGTAGAACAAATTCCCCAGGCTCCAACTGTGCTAATAACACCTGCAGATGAAATTCCTTTTCCGCATTTCATCTGACCCCTTGTGTTTCTTCTTAAATGGTCATTTCTGATATGAACACAAATTATCCCATCCTAAAACTCCAAAACCAGTCATAGGATAAAATCCTGTGTAACAAGGAAGGGGAGAGACCCTACAAAGAAGGAAGCCTGGAAGGAAGGAGGAATGAAGCAGGCTTCTGCTCTACCGAGGCTGAATCAGCCATGAGAATCCATCACAGGATGCCAAGCTATCCAGGGACTCCTGCATGGAAGGATTCAGAACACTTACTCAGAGAAAGCCGCCCAAGCTCAATCAGCAGCCAGAGAATAAGAGGCCCTTTGGACATTTTGATGGTTGGCAGGCCCCAGGAGTCTGTCTGTCTGTCCAAAGCCCATTTCTTATACTCCAGCAAATGCTGACAGGGCAGGACCTTTTAGTTTCATTTCTCTTTCTGCCTCATAATCTTCCCTTTCCCCCTCCTGAATGGTCTCCCTTAATCTGGGAGTATGATAAAATGTGCTGAGCACTTTTCTCCTGGCCACCAGCATATGTACAAATGTGTACATGGATAGTGAGGTTGCACCTGTATTCCTTTGTCCATGCATATCAAGGAATTTCTACCTGTGTGTTAGTATCCATGCATGTGCTTCTGTGTATGTGCATGTGGGAGCTGTGCTTGAGCTACGGTCCTCCTGGCTACTGTGCAGCTCAGAATAAAATGCAATGAAGTCTCCTCACTGGCAGCTGTTTACACATAGAATCCTCATAGGGGCCAAAGGAAAGTTAGCCTAGAATTTGCCTCTGCTCCATTTATCTGATTCACCTGGTTCTCCATCACCCAGATCTTTGGTTCCTTTACCCCATGGAGAAAGAAAAGCAGGACTGCAATCAACCATCACATAAGCCAAAATCACCATTAGAGTTTACTAGACAAGGAAAGAATTCAATAGAAGAAGCATACTGTGGCCATTATGGGATGGGCTCAGGTATTAAAGAAACCCAAGGTCAGGACCCAATTCTACCACTTTTTAAGTGAAGCCACTTGATAGAGAAGAGCATAAAAAATAATTCACGAACCAGATTACAAGGCTTGACTCTACAGATACAATGATCTATCCAAGACCACAGAACCAGTTAGAGAAGGAAACAAATCAACTGGATGTGTTTTCTAAAATAGACTTAGGGGCACCTGGGTGACTCAGTCGGTTAGGCGACCAACTCCTGCTCTCAGTTCAGGTCTTGATCTCAGGGTTGTGAGTTCAAGCCCCATGCTGGGCTCCATGATGGGCCTGGAGCCTACTTAGAAATTAATTAATTAATTAATTAGACTTAGATCATCATCATTGGTTATTGAATCCTTAGTTATATACCAGGCACTCTGCTACATGATACAGATGTATTATTTAATTCTCACAACCATAAGAAATAGATAATATTTTTGCCCATTTAACACATGAGGAAATTGAGGCTTAAGGAAGCTACATAAATGACATTGACAGCTAAGAAGGTGTGAAAACAGGACTCAAGCCCAAGTCTCCCTGATCCCAAAGTCCATGCCCCTAATCACTACACCCTCCTTTGACCTGTGATCCTTAGGGTAATACAGCCATGAGACCACCCATACCAGTGGCCGGCCAGATCCCACCCAGCCCCAGAGAAGGAACTTAAGGATTCACAAATGCTCTAGATTTAAAAAAAAAAAAAAATCCTCATTTGATTGTAACCCACTAAACGAGCCTCAGACATTCAACATTGCTCACGGTAAAAGTATTGGTGAAAATAAAAATATCGGATAAGACTCTGGACTCAGAGAAGCCAGAAAAACAAGGGGAAGGGATGAAAATAGAGGGGCTCAGAGAAAACCATCCCATTGAATACCCATTGAATTGTGGAATCCTCTTCCTAGGGAACTGGGGGGTTTAATCTCTGGATAAACTGAATGGCCCTAATAAAACACTTACAGATATTGATATTTAGGTATCCCCCAACAATATCAACACAATTGTCCTTCAATAAAGTTACCAGTGCATGAGACTCAGTCTTGTATGCAGCACTCCTAATTAGTTTTTAGTGTGTCACTTTAAATACAAATAGAAAAACCAAGGATCTGAGACATGTGGGGAAAGTCTTCAGGATGAAAAAGATGACAACATCCAAGATGACTTTTTCCACTCACACGTATAGCAAATTGATAGGATGACAAGAAGGCCTAGGAGCTGGACAGGCAACCCTTTCTCTCCACATGGCCTTTCCTCAAGGCATCTTGGGCTTCCTTACAGTATGGCTGTCTCAAAGTAAATGAATTTCTTACATAGTATTTGGCTCTCTCAAAAATGATTGTTCCAACAGGCTCAGGAAGAACCTGCAAAGGTTATGACCTAAACCTACATGTGATTCAGTATCATTTCTACTGCATTCTGTTGGTCAAAAAGTAAGTTATAAGGCCATCCCAGATTCAAGTAGAGGGAACAATACAAGGGTGTGAATACCAGGAAGTTCATTGGAGATGAAGGGGAAGCATCTTTGCAGACTAGTTACCACATCAAGCAAACCAGGTTGGAGCAGAAGGGCAGAGGGATAAGGTTTGGGGTGGCGGTGATAAATGTAACTGGTAGATAGTCTCATGCATTTGGGCATTTTAAAAATAGATTCAATAGGTCTTTGACAGAAAATAGTTGAATCGTTTGGGATGAATTTTGATAAACGCTTGGAAAATTAAGAAAAGGAAAACGAGACAATTATTACAATGATGAAAGATAAAGTATTATAAAAGAAAGAATATGTAATTATAGTACATTTGCTCAATGTGAAAGATAGTTATATGGTCATGGTAATGTAAACTCTAGCTACTAGTTTAACACAAAACTGTGATATGAATACATTGGGAAGATGGGCAGAGAGGAAGCAGAGGAGGGGTGCAAGAAAACCAAACCCTACTCACCCTTAGAGGAGGTCAATAGATGGTGACGAGAGTGATCAATCACACAATAACAGTATAAGCACATTATTTGTAATATGGAAGGGAAAAAAACAGAAAAAACAACTCAGAAGAGTTTACATTTTATGGGAAAGAATATGAAAGGAATTGACTATTTTTTCAGTTATGCCTTTTAGAATAATTTTACTTTTAAAAATGTACATATTGAGCACTCCTACCACCCAGATATTAGTTTCTAAATACCACTCTCCAATAGAAGGAACCAGGGCTCTTTGGGGAAATGGCTGATTCTAGGACTAGGGCAACAAATACTTCAAATGAATCTGGAGCATCTTATACTAGAAAGTATGAAAATGCTGAATAAATAGATAGATTGATGACAATAGATAGAGAGATAGATGATAGTTGTTAGATGATAAATAGATGATAGATAGATGATAGATAGATAGATGATAGATAGATATAGTTGTTAGATGATAAATAGATGATAGATAGATAGATAGATGATAGCTAGCTAGCTAGCTAGCTAGCTAGCTAGCTAGATAGATAGATAGAACCCACAATGGTGCAGTTGTTAATGGGACACCGGAAACAACTAAAAGAGCTCTCAATGACCAAAGCTGGAACAACCTGAGCAACAAAATAAACTAGTACTGGATTATAACCCAAAGTATAAAATAGATGTCTATACTGATATAGTGATTGAATCAATAAATAAGTGAGGGAGAAGAGACTAATCTGTCCAAAAGAATTCCAAATAATTTATGTAGAGACTTACCCTTAAAGGGAAGGTGGAGCATAACTCCCACTCCTTAAATGTGGGCTGGACACAGTGACTTTCTTCCAAAACATCCAGCAAAGACAGAGAGAACAAAGACTACATTTAGAGTGGAGAGATCTGGCAAACACTACCTCGGGCACGTGATCAAGGTCAGCATCAAGAGATAAGTCACGTCGATGGTTTGCACCCTTGATATGTGGTGTAAATGGCACTTTACCTCTGTGGTAAAGTCTTCCTCCCAAGAAATATAATCCTAGTATAATCATGAGAAAAACATCAAACACAACCAAACTGAGGCACATTCTACAAAATATTTGACAAATACTTCTCAAAAGCATCACGATCATATAAAACAAGGAAAGTCTAAAAAAATGTGAACAGCTCAGAGGAACCTAAGGAGAGGTGACAACCAAATGTAATGTGGTATCCTAGATAGGCTCCTGGAAGGGAAAAAGGCTAGTAGGTGAAAACAAAGGAAATTTTGAACTTTGTTTAATAATAATGTATTAATATTGGTTTATTAATTATTACAAATATACCTTTTCCACAGTGTAAGATGTTAACAATAGGGGAAACTGGGTGTAGGGTGTATGGGAACTCTCTATTCTATCTTCATGATTTTTCTGTAAATCTAAAGCTATTCTAAAACAAAGATTTTCCTAGTGCACATATTCTTTTATTTTAGAAGTGCAAATGTTAATTTAGTACCTGGAAGGGGTCACACACTGGAAAGAGAGACTGAGACTAAGTTTGGTTACCTTCTCTTCCTAAGTTAAGGTCCCTGGACAGTCTTTAGGGAATTCACAAACATCCTAATATTGGATGCTCAATTTGTATTACTGTATTAAAGCATATTATTCTTTTTTTTAAAGATTTTATTTATTTATTTGAGAGAGGGAATGAGAGATAGAGAGCACGAGAGGGAAGAGGGTCAGAGGGAGAAGCAGACTCCCTGCCGAGCAGGGAGCCCGATGTGGGACTCCAGGATCATGACCTGAGCCGAAGGCAGTCGCTTAACCAACTGAGCCACCCAGATGCCCCTAAAGCATATTATTCTTGAGAGAGGGCCATAGCAATTTTTGGTAATTCATGTCTTTGCCACCTTCCTCTGCATATGGAGGTTTGTGTCTGGAGAGTCAGTCCTCCCTCATTCTCATTAAGTGCAGTTTAGATGGCAATGATTTCATTCATGGCCTATGCTGTTTGATCAAGGATGAACAGTTGATCCAAATAAAGTCAAGGATACATAATCTTGACACATTTCCTGGAACTTTTGAAAGGTAGGAACACTCCCGATTTTCCACAGATTTTTCAGCTGTGAGGATATGAGCCTGAATCCAAAGATATCCATTATGTCACCAATGGGTGAAGACTGCCTGATGAGAGAACCAATCAGGCAGAAGGTAAGTGGAGAAACAGAGAATCCTAGGTGCTTGACAAAGTTTGAACCCCTGAAACAAGACACTTCAATGCGCCAATAAATTTCCTTTTGAGCTTAAACCAATTTGTGTGGGGTCTTCAGTCATTTGGAATCAAAAGACCCCATGTTCTTAAACCTAGAAAGACTTCTATATAGTGGTAATTCAGCTGAATGACTAAAGTTTTTCCAATATATAAGAGTTTACACAATTATCTGGCCCAGGTATCTGCTTCACAAAACACCTGCTTCAC